AATGTTTCTTTTTGAGAGACAGACAGAGACAGAGTGCGAGGAGCAGAGAGTGAGGGAGACACAGAATCTGAAGCAGGCTCCAGGCTCCGAGCCGTCAGCACAGGGCCTGATGTGGAGCTCGAATTCACGAACCATGAGATCATGACTTGAGCCAGAGTCGGACGCTTAACCGACTGAGCCACCCAGGCACCTCCCTTTTGTTCTTTGTTTGTTGTTTTGTTTTTTGTTTGTAACGCATAGATGAAACGGTGTTTGTGAAGCCCCTCACACGGTGCCTGTAGCGTGTGATCAGCCAGTGGTAGTCCTTCTGTAGTTTAAGCCCGGCCTGGTGCAGACACGTCGCAGTCACACCTGGTCTCCTTATTTGTTTTGTCTTCTTTATATGCCGCTATTGAGCGAGGGCTTCAAGGTTGGAATGAGCCCCCCAGCGCGGGGGGTGCACACTCCGTGTGGCTGCTGGGGACGTGCCCGGGGCCGTGGGCCACGTCCAGTGCTATCTGCTCCCTCCTCTGCTTCTGAGCAGGTTCACATGTGACGACGTGGACTTCAACCTGCGGGTGCATAGCGCCGGCCTCCTGCTCTGCCGTTTCAACCGCTTTAGCGTGATGAAGAAGCAGATTGCCGTGGGCGGGCACAGGTCCTGCCACATCACGTCCAAGGTGAGTGCGCCCACTGAGTCTGCTGCCTGGGCTGCGGTGGTGTGGGAGCTGGCGGGGAGGCCAGGACGTGGGGCGGCCTTGACGGCTGCTGGTATTCGTAAAGGTTTTGAATTGGGAGCCTGGGGAAGGGAGGCCCGCCGTCGGGTTTCTCTCCCGATCGCTGGTTCTAACCAGTATCCCCGGTACGCGTCCCACCAGTGTGGCCGCCACCAGCCTTCCCGTGAGCGCTCGCCTGCCTGCACGTCCAGCACTGGGCTCTGTGTTCACTGCCCTGGCTTCTCTGCTGGACCCAGCTCCTGGGGGGTGGGGCGCCATGCTCCTCTCTGGGCCCCTGGACAGCGCCTGGCCAGATAACCAAATGGCACCAACAGGCTGGCCTGTAGCCGTGTTGTCTGTGCGCGAGCCAGCCTCTTGGTGGGGAGAGACGTGGTCTGATTAGGTCAGTGCTGGCTGCAGAATTTCAGGGTGGAAAGTCCTAGCACACCCTCCGAGATCTGGTCTTCCAGGAGGACATACGGGGCTGGCACGACTCTGCCTGAAGGTTCTCTCCGACCCACGGACGGGAGCCCCATTCTCTGCTTTGTACCTCCATCTACCTTGACTTTTGCCCTGGCGGTGGACACGTCAGCCTGTCCCGGTGACTCTTTCAGCCTCTGTCCTGCCTCATCTCCCCTCACTCCTTGTGTGGTTGGTTGCTTATCCTGAGCTGGGCCGGGTCTGAATTCAGACGCCAGTCCCAAACCCCCACCCACCTGCCCCTTCCTATCAGCAGGATGTGAAGCCTTCTCTGAAAGGGAAAGCCCATTCTCATTTCTCTTAAAAAGTAGCAAGGCATTTAAAGGAAAGGTGTGTATTTCCAGAACTCGGGAGTCGTTGAATTAAGTCCTACCCTCCCCCGCTGCTGAGATTTCTTACTGAAATTGTGTTAGATTTCTAGTTTAATTTTTACAATTCAGATTTTTACCATATTGTCTATCAAAGATACTGTTGTACTTTTAAAACTGAGTTTTCTTTATGTCTCTCAGTCTAATCCTCTGGCTCTAGATATTTTATGTGTATTCCTATTTTGAGCATCTTCTTTTCCGCTAGGTTTAGGTTACGTGTAAGAGAGCTGGAACATTCGATAATCTTTCATCTGAATGAGATAACTTACTTTCATTTACTCACTGAGTATTTACTGAGCATGCAGGCCCTTCACTCGGTGTAGCCCTGCAGCTGAGGCGGATGTTAAACATGTAGTGTCCTTGTGACCAGCACCACGAGGGTGACGTGTGTCACAGGGAGACCTAACCTTGCAAAGGGTGGGGGAGGGAGTCTGCGTGAGTGTCCCTGAGACAGTGACATCAAAGCAGAGACTCGGGGGTAATACACAGCTGTTCAAAGAAGGATCTGGGTGAAGGAGCTGAGCAGGTGAAAGCCGGGAGGTCAGCGTGGAAGAAGCATAAAGGGCAGAAGGCATGGCAGAGATGGGCTAGAGAAGCATGTAGGGTCTTAGCAGCCATGGGAACATTCTGGACTTTCTCTAGGAGTAATGAGAGACCACCGAAGGGTGCCCAGCAGAGGATTTGATTCGTTTTATTTACACCAAGTCTCCCTGGCTGCAGCCTGGCAAACGCGTTGGCCGTGGAGTAAGGGGTGGTGGGTGCAGACCGGCGGGGGGTCGGCAGGAAGGGCGGCGGGGGCAGGCGAAGGTGGATAGGTTCTGGGGCCAGGGGGAGGCTGATCCTTCCCAGAGGTTTGCCTCTCTGGATTTGGGGGAGAGTTCGCCAGGTCCAGTGGTCCTCTGGATTATCCTAGACCAGGCGGCAAGTCTTCTGCATGGAGTGGTCAATGCCTACAATTCTTACCGGTCCCACTCGTCAGTTTCACACGTCCCACCGTGGTAAAGCATAGCTTTCCTTGGCAGAGAATTTCTGGGTTGAGGTATGTGTTCGCAGCTGGGCAGCTCTACCCTGTGACACAGTCTTCCGTGACAGGGCCACTCACCCCAGGAGAGGCCTGGGGAGGGACCTCTGTGCTCAGGGTGGCTGGGAGTGGCTGACCCCGCCTTCCCTGGGCAGGTATCCGACAACCCCGTGGCCATCGTGCCGGCCCAGTACATCTGCGCCCCGGACAGCAAGCACACGTTCCTCGCGGCGCCCGCGCAGCTCCTGCTGGAGAAGTTCCTCCAGCACCACAGTCACCGATTCTTCCCGCTGTCCCTGCGGAACCGCGGCCACCCTGTGCTCTCGGTCGACTGCTACCTTAACCTGGGATCTCAGGTGACTCTCAGAGGGGGCCCTGCCGAGTCCACGAATCCAGAAATTCCTAAAACGGAGGCGCCAGAACCCAGGACTCGGGATGATAGCTACTCAGCTCCTTTGCCTCAGGTGTTTACCCCGCCTTATAGCTGATAGGGTAAAAGCCTGAGAGAGTTTAAGTGGTTTGCCCCCCACTGTAATAAATTAGGAATGAAAGCCAACGCGGATGCCAAAATTGACGGGTGGCAACTCATCCGTCGAATTGATGGATTCTCGAATTGATGGATGGGCAAATGTGGATACATTTCTTGGACTTGAGTTTTAGGATCTGGATTTGGACATAACACTAAATCTTGTCTCTGCCCCGACCCCCACCAGCCTTGGGCATTGGCCAAGCAGTTAGTATTTGTTAGACGCAAGGCTCTAGCATGGTGTCGTTGGGTATTTCATGAAAGCTGATGTTCTCTCTTGGATTCCTTCTTTTTCAGATTTCTGTGTGTTATGTGAGCTCCAGGCCCCACTCCCTGAACGTCAGCTGCTCTGACTTCGTGTTTAGCGGACTCCTGCTGTACCTCTGTGATTCTTTTGTGGGAGCTAGCTTTTTGAAAAAGTTTCATTTTCTGAAAGGTAACTTCCCTGGACCTCGATTTGAATGCCTTTTGGCACCTGGCGCTTCCGAGGAGGTGACTTGTGGTCTTAGTCCCCCTTTGCCAGTGGGTAGACTGAGGCTCAGAGAGGGAATATGACTGCCCTGATTATCCAGGAAGGTACAAGAAGGCTGGGATGCGATCCCAGCGTGGCTCTCTTCCCCTTGTGCCTGTCGGGATAGAGACAAGACACGTCCCCTTTCTTTCAGGTAGATGTTTTGGACTTGTGGTCCCCATCAGCCCAGATTCTTAACATCAGCACCCAGGTCCCTTCCGACGTGCCTTCCTCCTGGTACCTGGGGTTTCCTCCTCATCTTAGGGAGCACTGCATGCTCTTTGACCTTTACCGGGATCTTTCTGCTCCCATAGTTGTTGTCACGCTAGAGCGGCTGAGAGCGACAGACGTTTCATTCTCTAGGACTTAACAGTGTTATTTCCAGCCAGCTGGGAATCCTGACCGATCTTCCCTTGCCTTGAGTGTCTGCACTCTGACCTTGTCGAGCGGGTGTTTACTGAGCACCAGCGCTGTATGCGGCCTTGGGAAGTAGTAAGAGGTTTCTCCCACGGTCTGCCCCGGGGAAACCTTTCGTGTACTAGGAGGACAGGACATGTGGGTAGGAAGGGCGGCAGGTAGACCGACCTACAGGATGAATGAGCCGACCAGAGGGATTATCGAGGATGCTGGGAGTGGAGAGGAGGGAGAATTCCCGAGGCTGGGGGGGTGGGGGTGGGGGTGTGCTGCATCTGGCCAGTATGCAGGGGGCTCGCATGGGAGAGGAAGGGGTGGGGTCAGCCTGGGAGAGGTGGGCTAGCGCAGGGCTGGAACCGGAGCGCTTGGTTGGTGATCTGACCAGCCGACGAGGCGTCTCTCTGCTTCCGGTTCTCCACCCCCTCCACCGCTTTGTGCACATTTCTTCCGCCTCCGCGTTGTGTCACTGGCCAGACCTGCCAAATAACCATCTCGCTGTGTGTCTCGCTGAGAGTACGAAGCTTTCCAGAAGCAGCAGGAGGTGCCGCCTGGATGTCTGGTCCCTCCTTCCCAAACGACACCGTGTCTCCTTGTTGCCGGTAGAATCCAGGCCGTAGCTCTCATTCGTTTTCTTCACCGCCTCTGCCGTTGCCCACGCAGGTGCCACCCTGTGCGTGATCTGCCAGGACCGGAACTCCCTGCGCCAGACGGTGGTCCGCCTCGAGCTGGAAGACGAGTGGCAGTTCCGGCTGCGTGACGAATTCCAGACGGCCAACGCCAAGGAAGACCGGCCGCTCTTTTTTCTGACCGGGCGGCACATCTGAGGGAGACACCGGCAGATTTTCCGCGGGAGGGGAGCCTTCGGCACCTCATGCCCTTGAGGCTAAAGGGACTCTGAGATCCACGGGGTGCTCGAACTGGAGCGGCCCCGGGACCGTTGTGCGGCCCCCTCGTGCTACGTGCCAGGAGCCCAGGCCTGGGCGTTTGTGGTCTTAGAGCAATGAGGATGAGTGGGTGGTGAGCAGGGACGCAAAGCCATGTCTCCTGGGTTCTGGGCCACACGGCCCTGGGCTCTGTCGAAGCCCACTTGATGAAGAACAAACTTTTGCCTGCCGTCCTGTCTTCCGTGTGCTTCCATGGACAAATGCGACTTTTCTGAGTTCTAAAGGATCACTCTTGGGTTTTCTTGTAGAGGTGTCAGTAACTTCTTGTTGGGCGATGGACAGGATTCCGACTATGGGGGTTTCCCTATCACCTACTACAAAGCAATATTCCAGAAGAGCATCTTTTAAACTTTAAAGGCTGGAGAGAAGGAAAAAACAAGGACATTTAATAAGAATTACGTAACGGCCTACAAGTTTGCTCTTTCAGAAGCCAGGCCAAAGGCATCCACTCTGAAAAAGTAAAGCAGATGATTTTACTTCGCAACAAGTATGATTCTGTTAAAATAAAATAGTATAGGGTCAATACCCTACCTCTTAGAAAGGGCAAAGCTGAAAAGAAACTTTCTTTAAAACAAGAAGTGTTTCAGGAAGGAAATTAGAGTTGGAGGGGTTGACCTGAAGAGACCGACTTTGCCTTACAAAGAGGACCAAATTGCTTGCTTTGAAACAATGAAACCACCAGAGGGACATAAAATAGTTGGTAAGAATTAAACTTTTGACTATAATTTATTAAAGCTCAGTTTTTGGTTCCTTAAATAGCTTGTTTTCTCTTACGAGTGCTTGGCCCCGATCAGAATGGACGACAGGAATGCGGGAACGTTCCATGACGCTCACCATCCCGTCTGCCTGTGTGTTTGAGTGCCAGCCATGGGCCAGGCATCGGACTGGGTGCTTTCGCAGCTATGATCTTGCTTAGTCCTTCCAACAGCCTGGGTGGGTGCAATGATCCTCCACCTGGAAGACGAGAAGGTTCCGGTGCAGGGAGCACACCTCACCGAGACCACTGCGCAAGGAGAGAAGCAGAAGGATGGACAAGTAGACTCCTGGATTCCGGACCAGTGTCTGTCTTGCCCCAGGCCACGGTGCTTTTGGAGTGGCCCCTAACCGAAGGGAGGGTTTGAAGATACTCAGAAATGCACCACCAGCATGCGTTCGTACACAGCCATCTTAGACACTTCTGAGCACTCTGGTGGATAACAGTCCAAGAAGAAATTATTTTAGAAGATGATGCCTAAGAGTTTAATCTCCCTCCTCCCACCCCCGCCCAAAGAAAAACCAGCCGATGAGTATAAAAGATTAGTTCAGTGTTTATAAAACGATCCCTTCGTATATGCCATTATTCCTATCTCGGAATAAAAACTTTCCTTCTTCAGTTGTATTTGTCTTTTGTAAATAGTAGCTTGTGTGCCGTGCTTCCCATTTTGTTAGTTAATTTAAACTTGGAAGACACCAAACTAATATTCTTGTTTGTTCCAGTCTTATAAATAAAACCCGTGATGCACTCCTGGTTTCTTTGGTGGGAATTAATTCGGTTGGTTTTGTTTTTGTTTTTGTTTCTTTGAGAGGGAGTAGTGTGACCAGTGATCTCCAAGGGCTCCCTGCTTACAACCTCATGACATGACAGAAAAGACAGTTTTGGAAAGGAAATTATAAATCCATAAAAGTAAGCGTGTATTAACACATGGAGGGATCCCTGAAAGAGAAAATTAGGTGTAGAGAAGAACAGAAATGAAGGATAGCACAGCTGAGACCATACACAGAAACATGCTACGTCGGAAGATGGAGTCAGGGGTGCTCTGTGTGTCACGGTGGCTAAGGACGTGGAGGGGGCCTGGGGCATTTGTCACAGTGATACGGTTTGGTGCAGCGGGCCCTTCGATTCCTTCCAGCTCTTCTGCAACACTCACTCACAGACGCCACTGACCTGGGCTAGGCAGGCAGCCACTGCTAAGCTTACTGCAGAGTGTGGAGGGAGCCTCAAGGAGGGGGCATGGGAGGGGGTCCAGACTCTTGTGAAGACAAGCTATTGGCACCCCCTCTCTGTGGCATTGTCCTATCTCTCCCCTCACAGTTATATGGGTCAGTTTATAGTAGACGAAATAAACAAACAGGAACCCCCCCCCCCCGCCCACCAAGTATGGAAATGAACAAACAACTAAGATTCTTAAAATAGCAAATGTTATACAGTGAAAGGTGATAATGTCAGTAAAGAGGTTAATTATAAAACAAGCATAATCCAAATCAGAAAAAAGTAAGGTGATACGGTATCCAGAACAAAAAAGGATGGTTACAGATCTTGGAAGTGAAAACAGAGACCTCGGTAGACGGGTGAATAGCCAGAGGAGCTCAAGAGGGAACCCGCCAGGAGGTGCACCTGGAGAAGTCTGACGGCAAACAGGAATGAACGTTGGCGGTCTGGGCTGACACTTGACTGTTCCCTTGCTCACTGCACATCTGGCCCTCCTGGCTCATCTTGGCCACTGCCAGCCGAGTACCCACCTCAGGCCGGTTGCTTCCTGTGCCTGGACCGCTTCTCCCCTTCACGTCGCTCGGATCCCTCAAAGGTCACCTCCTCAATGAGGTCCTCCCCAGTAGAATGCATTTTGTTTAGTGTTTTCTTTGTCCTTTCCCGTGAAAGTAGGAACTTCGTAAGACACATTCACTCCTGTGTTCCTGGAGACTGGAATATGCCCAGCAGATGGTAGTGTTCGTGAAACGCCCCTTGACTGACTCCGTTCTGTTTTAGATGCTTCCAGCATGGGAGCTGGGGGGGGAGTGGCCAGTGATGGAGGAACTGAGAAAGTAAAGGAGTGAAATTGACCTAAAATTCCTGGTTGAATGGGGCAGGGGTGGTTAACATGTTACCAGAAAAGGAATATTTAAATATATGTTTAAAAAACAGGAATCCCTGGAAGAATTGAAACAGGATGTACAAGATCTAAACATTAAAGGGAAAAAGAGTATCAACAAAACCAGTGTATGTGGTATCAGGGAAGAACAGGCTGGGGAGGGAAGAAACAAAAAGCTTGGTAAATAAAGTAGATGGCAGAAAGACATTCAAACATATCCCTGATCAGGGACACCTGGGGGCCCAGTCGGTTAAGCCTTCAGCTTTGGCTTAGGTCATGATCCCACAGTTGATGGGTTCGAGCCCCACGTCGGGCTCTGTGCTGACAGCTCAGAGCCTGGAGCCTGCTTTAGATTCTGTGTCTCCCCCCTCTCTGCCCCTCCCCTGCTTGCACTGTCTCTCTCAAAAATACATATTAAAAAAAAATATTAATTAAAAAAAATATATCCCGGATCAAAATAAACGTAAATGGATTAAATTCACCTAATAAGGCAGCAGATTGAGACTCTCAGACTGGGGTAAGATGGCTAATCAGAACAAGATTCAACATTTAAAAGTTAAATGGGTGAAGTTCAAAGTTAAACCCACAGGGATAAGAATGGTCACAAAACTTTGTAGATCTGGACAGCAATGCTATGAAATCTTAGAAGGCGAGAACAGTTAGAAATAGGAAACAAATAGGGTAATAATGGGATAATTGCATAACCATCACTGGAGACTAGTACATCTCTCTGGAAATAGAAGACCAATCGAAATGAGAGTCGACTGACCCAGTGACATGTTTGATAGAAAGTCATTAACCTCCGAAGGAGAGAGCATTCTTGTGGAATAGAAATTCCAGGAAATGTTCTGAGCTAGACAGAGGTGATGGTTACACTACATTGTGAATGTGCTAAATGACACTAATGGTAAATTTTGTGTGTATTTTGCCATAATAAAAAACTGTCCCAGAGCATTGGAAAATACAGAAATCTGTACTTCTGCAACGCCAGGAATAGCAGTCACTCTCAAACCAGATAAGAATGATAAATACACAGGGGCACCTGGGTGGCTCAGTCAGTTAAGCGTCTGACTTCGGCTCAGGTCATGATCTCACGGTCCGTGAGTTTGAGCCCCGAGTCGGGCTCTGTGCTGACAGCTCAGAGCCTGGAGCCTGCTCCGGATTCTGCGTCTCCCTCTCTGCCCCTCTGCCACTCGTGCCGTCTCTCAAAAACTAAACCTAAAAAAAAAAAAAGAATAATAAATACACAAACTGTGGCTCTTTTTTCCTGAATACTCACCACAACTTAACTCTTGCAGTAAAGGAGGAGAAATCAGGCTGCAAAAGCAACATTCATATGGATGTCAGAGTTTTCATGGCAGAATGTGGCAGTGGAGAGGGTGTGGCATTTGAAACCAGGGGACTTGGTTTCGCGTCTTGATTCTCTTGCCAGGTCACTTCGTTCCTGGAGAATGTGTTAGCTATGAAATGAGCAACAGTGAGTAGCAAACGTTTTTGAGCACCTGCTGTGTGCCAGGCATTTAACTAGGTCGCTAATTGTTTATTATTTATTTATTTATTTATTTATTTTTTAATTTTTTTTTCCAACGTTTGTTTATTTTTAGGACAGAGAGAGACAGAGCATGAACGGGGGAGGGGCAGAGAGAGAGGGAGACACAGAATCGGAAACAGGCTCCAGGCTCTGAGCCATCAGCCCAGGGCCTGACGCGGGGCTCGAACTCCCGGACCGCGAGATCGTGACCTGGCTGAAGTCGGACGCTCAACCGACTGCGCCACCCAGGCGCCCCTGTTTATTATTTAATCCAACAACACTCTGAAGTAGATATCATTGGGACCATCTTACAAATGAAAAACCTATGGCTCAGAGAGGTTGAATGACTTGTCCAAGATCACACAGCTATCGAGTGACAGAACAGATCTAGATTCATGCTTGCAGGTGTAAGGATAGGTCCTGCTAACATCACAGCTGCTTTCTGTCTTGAGCAGTTTATGGCCACCAAATGTCATCCATTAGGAGGCACCGTTGGCTTC